AATGTTTAGGGACAGTCAGAAGAATACTAAAGCACCATTTCCTTCAGCAGGGATGGGCTGCAATGATGTTTCTCAGGCACTACTGTGCTGGCAGAGTGCCCACAATGATCCCCACAATGTGTCACCAAGCTCTGACACACCTGAGCTTCTCTTCCAGCCAAGTTGCTCCCTGAAGGGAGTTGAGCTTCCTCATCCTCAGGCTTTTCTTTCTGAGGGCTCTCAATCAAATCTTTTACTGTAGATTTGCCTTTGTGCCATTTGATTTTACCTAAAGCTCAGAAGACCCTGCTGTGCTTCAAGAGGCCCAATTTTGAAGCAGCACATCATGTTTAAAACCATTTTTGCCTTTTGCTGGGACAAACCCCAAAGCTTGGTGTCAGCCTCAACACTCCTCCAGGCTTTTTCTCCATCTTGTTGGCAGCTGATTACAAACAGAGTTCTAATCCAGACCCCACCATCAGCTGATCCAAGCTGAGGATGCTCCCCAGGCTGCAGACTCTTGAGGGAACAATCAGGGAATTGCTGCCCTATTCCCTTCACCTTTTCTCCACCATTTAAATGTCTCTCACACCACAGCCAGGAGAACAAGCCTCAGCACTTGCACATTTTTCTGCAGGGAAGCACGAGTTGCCTCTGCTCTTTACTGTGCCACATAAAATCGTGGTAAAACACCAATTGTTGTGATAAAACACAGGCAGTGGAAAGGAAGAGGATAAAACCCATCAAGATCCTGCCAGGTGTTAAAATGAACCTGGAAAATTAATGATTAATGTTGAGAATGACTGAGGGAACTGATTTCCAGGAACTGAGACCTTTTTAATGAACTCAAGTTATTGTTTAAAGTTAATTTTGATTCTGTATTTGGGGAAGGGGTGTGTGTGCATGGGCAGGGAGACAAACAGAATGGAGGGAAGGGAAGGCTTTGAAGTTCCCTTGGCAATAACCATTAGGTTTATCCTGGGTGAGATGAGATTCAGGAAAGGAAATGTTCTCAGCTCCCAGGGGCATCCATTCCCTCTCTTGTCTAGCAGTAAATAATCCATAAGGAGCCCGGAAGGTGTTGGGAGAGCAATTCCTTGCATATTCTCTGAGTAGCACAACAAAATAATGCCCTTTTTTTTCCAGCCTGCCTGTCAGTGCTGCTGAAGTATCAAATCTTTCTGATCTTTCCCCAGGAGGCAAAGAACAAAGGGAGAGTGCTTCTGTGTGTGGGAACACCCACAGGGATGGTGGGAGCCAGCCAAGCTAAATTATGGAAGTATTGTAAGGACTATGATGTTTAGAACCAATAGAACTTTGCCTGATACAGCAGGAGAAGAATAAAAGAAAGTAAAAGAGAAAGTAGTTGTGGTCTGCCTTCCTCCTCATCCACCTCTGAGTCCTGGCAGGAGCTCCAGGAGCTTGGAGTCACTCTAAGATTTACAGGAGCTTGGGGTAACACATCAGAGAGCAACTCACAGCAGAGGAGAACTTGTTTGAGATAAGAAGGCTCAGAATATTTCCAGAAAATGTCCTGGGCTCTTTTCCATCTTGGGAATTTTTTGGAGGGGGGAAACAGAGGAGGAGCTGCCTGTGAAATATTCCTGTCTGTGCAGATGATGTGTTTCAGATATTGATGACACACAACTCCTCAGCATTCCTTATAACTAAGAGGAGCTCAAATGAACTACATGATTTCAAAACTTTGAGAATTAGGCAGGTTTAACAGTTATAACCTCCTTTTTTAGGATAAATCGCACTCTATTGAAGCTCTCTATTTTCATGTTAGTTAATTTGCCCCATTCTTTCAGTGCTGGTCAAGAGGAAAAATACATGTTCAAGTGGTACAATACATACTCAAGTTGAATATAATGTTGAAATACATGTCCAAGTGCCTTTATACAGATCCTTTTCTAGCAGCACTTGTACTTTGCACTTGCCATTTATTTATTGATTTCATAAATTATGGAGCTACACTTCCTGCAAACATACCTGTTGTGCTAATTCTTGAGGTAAGTAAAATCTGCTTTTGATAAGGGATTCATTACCACAGTTCCTTCCACTATAAATTTCTGGCATTCCTTACTTTTCCTGTCCCCAAATCCCTTTTGCTTCAGTCTCTGGCTGGAGAATTCCTGTTGCTTGTCATATTTGGGGTGTGTTTTGTGGCAGAGTGAACTTGGAGGGTTTCTACAACTCTGAGCCCTCCCCAGTGTGAGAGTCTAACCCTGAACTCTGTGCTCTGAGGCTCAGCAAGAGATTTGAGCCTTGCACAATGTGTACAGCAAAATCCTGTGGCTACAGGGTTTCTACTGCTCAAATTCATGCCCTGAGAACTTAACACAGCCCTTAAAAGGTGCTTTGGAACAGAAGGTGATGCTCTCCCCAGATTTCATGATGTATTTAGGTACCATTGCACACGGTGAGTGTGAGCCAGGAACCCGATGGAGTTTCTGCAGCACAGGTCACCCAGCTGAGCCACAGGCTGGGGACAAGAAGGAAGAGATGCTGGTCTTCATCCTGACCCAAAGTGCAACCAGATAAGTGGAGAGGGGGTGATGGCAGGGATGGAGAAGTCAGAACCAAGGATACCTCAATGGGGATGGAGAAGAGCCCGAGCTGGGTATTCCCACAGCTCCTGCCATTCCTCACTAGTTACAACCTCCCAGGGAGAGGAGACCTTGTTGTCAGTTTGGATAAGTTCAAAATGCTCAGTGTGTGTTAAAGAGGTCAAAATCAGGTGGAAAATTCATTATAAAGAACAGAGAGCAAAATATTGAGTTATTGATGCCAATTCAGTGACACATTCCCATGGAAGTGCTGTGGCTGCTTCTCATTCCCCTCACTCCTCTGCTTTTACCTTCAGAAATATGTCCCTAAAACTAGAAAATTACAGACTGAAGGGAGATCTGGAGAAGATTTCCTACAGGTGAGGGTTTATAGTCTCCCACTTTCACTCTGAGAATGGTACCTGAGCTGCAGGAATGTAACAAAGAGCAGGGGAATAATTATTCCTTTTACTCTTTCTAGGACAAGTCATGATTTCTGAGAAAAGAAAACCAGGGTGGAACCCAATAAATTATTGTGCACAAAAGCTGGATATAACAGGAAATGTTTTCTGTTAAATTCTGTTGAATATAACAGGAAATACAATGTGCTGTTAAGCTTGGAAACTCATTGTCACAGGGTACAGCACCAGAAATACATTTGGGCTAAGGAAAGGTCAAAGTTAAATCCATGGATATTGGATTCCCTGATGCCTACACAGCACAGTGGGTTGGCTGTGGGTTTTCTGCACAGAAAGGAGACATAAAATCCCCTTAATTGTCTCTTTTTGTGCTCCTGGCTGTGGCCAAGTGTGACCATGTCACAAGACCAGGTGGAGAAGATGGGCTCAGACCCAGGGAGGCTGCTTGGGAATGATGGTGAAGGAATTTTGGTCAATATGGGGCCTGAGGAAACTTGAAGAAAACTGTTGGGTGCTTCCCTGTGGCAACTGGGCTTTTGTGCAACCCAGGGGAGTTCCCCTGAGCAGAGCAGTGCTTGGCTGCTCCTCTGGGTCACTGCACCAGGAGCCTCTGGACCTCTTTTGCCACAGGGTCCCCCTTGGAAACTGGAGCAGACGTGCTCCTTGTGCTCCTACAAACGTGCACTTGAGCAAAGATGGGATTTTGGGCAAGGCCAGGTCAGTTTTGGAGCTCTGGAAATGCCCTGTGACAAAGGGGTGGGGACCATCAGGAAGGAGCTTGTGGGTTAGGGAAAGAAAACTCTGCTGGGAAAGGAATCAGCCCTGAACTACTGATGGATTGAACCCTGGAGGTGGGTCTGTGTGAAGGATCACACCATGTCCTGCTTCAGGTTGGAAAGGGCATCCTGGGGCAACACTCAGGGGTTTGGGGAAGTCTCTGCACTGAGCTGGACTTTAGGGAGGTATAAATTGCCTCAGGTCAGCTGGAAAATCCTCCAGCACTTTCCTCTCTTCTCTGCTAATGCCTGAATTTTCCAGGTGGGTCGAGCTGGTGAGGATGGAGCTGGGGGATGTCTCAGGGCAGTGACAGCCCTCAAGGATGAGGTGGGGAGATGGGGACCTTGGAGATGCTGGCAGGCCCTCAGAAAGGCATGGAATCCCTTTGGAAAGGCATGGCAACCCTTTGGAAAGGCCTGAAAGCCCCTTGGAAAGACATGACAGCCCACCCTGCAATAGGGCTTTGTGATGCCACCTTCCTAACACAAGAGAAGGGGTTGGAGGGTTCAACCTGGCATTACCCTCCCTTTGCTTGCTCTGAAGTGTGTTAGAGATGATCTCACTGGGAAAGGGGGGGATTTGATGGGAATATGGTGTGTGTGACTCAAGTCAGGCCTTGCAGAAAAATAAAGTCTAAAACTGGCCTTATTTGACCTGATTATGCTACAAATCTGGTAGTTCTTGCCAATTCACTGCTCCACAAGGGCTCACTTGAGCTCCTTCCCCTGCCTTTCTCAGGGGATTCAGCAGATCTCTGGGATATCAGGCACTTATTTAAGCTCAGTTTCAAGAGCTGCTCATTCAGTGGAAGAAACAGCTTGGTAAAGTGGTGACATTTCTGTCCTTTACCTCCCTTGTGGGCCCTTTCCTACAGACACAGCCTGCACTCAGTCTGTCATTGTCAGCAAGGCAAAGCTGATGATTATTTTCCCCCTGTTCCCTGCAACACCTGATCCTATCAGATCCATGCAGAACAAGGTTATTGCACCACAACATCTGTAAGACCCCCCAGGAAAGGCTTCAGTTTGGAACAAATTTACCTGTCAGGTGAGCTCGGGGCTTCTCTGCACTGGAAAGTGTGTCTGTAACTGAGGGAGAGGGAAAAAAAGAGGTGTAAGGCTGTTTGCTGCTGTTCAAGTCATAGAATCAGAGTCTCCAACTCCTGGCCCTGCACAGACACCCCAACAATCCCCCCCCGTCCCTCAGAGCATTGTCCAAACCCTCCTGGAGCTCTGGCAGCCTTGGGGCTGTGCCCACTGCCCTGGGGAGCCTGGGCAGTGCCAACCACCCTCTGGGGGAAGAACCTTTTCCTAAGTCAACAAGATGTGAGTGGTGATGATGACACTAAGGGAATGGTGTGCAAGCCCTTTTCATTTCCACAGGGAGTCAGGAGTTATCTGCTGTGATCTCTTATTGACACCACTGAGGTGACAAAACCCCTTTGCAGTGAGTGAGTTTGTCAGAGCTGCCGGAGGGTGAACGTGGATGAGATTTTGGCATGCAGGGGCTCCCAGATTCCTGCTTTTGCATGTTCAGGGGGTCACACTGATCCCACAGAGCTGCAGCAGAGGTCTGTGCCTGCACAGACAGAGCACAGCCCTGGGGTTAGACATGCTCACCCACTATGCCCCCAGTTACCTCCCTGCATCTTGTCACCCACGTTTGCCTCTGGCTGCCCTGGTTGTTTGGAAGGAGGGATTAGGGAGGTGAGAGCAGGAGGCAGCAGCGTTCTTGGATTGTATCCAAAGGTGCTGGGATGGGGGAAAGGTCTGGCAAACTTACCATCTACTGCCCGTTGCTTCAGAAAGAGGGAGCCCCTCTCCTCTGGGACCTGCAGGAGAGATTTACCAGCAGTTAGCTCAGGGCTCCAGGAGGAACCTCCACAAAGGGGCTTGTCTGAGTTATCCCAGAAAATGGAATGTGCTACAGCAAGTCAGAGAGTTCACCAAGAGCTTTAATGAAAAGTGAGGAGCCCTGACAAGGTTTTGCTTCACTGAAAGAGATTTCTGCTGTAGGTTTGAAACTGCACCTCTGAAAGGGTGCCAGGGACAGGACCTGGGCTTCTGGGGGTGAGATTTGTTAAACTCCAGTCTGGATGAGCCCTTGGCAAAACTGGGAGAGGCCCAGCAGAGTGGGCAGTGGGAATTAGGCATTGCCAGCCCTCCTCTGGGATGGTGACTCCACCAAGCACTGCTGGAGCTCCTCTGCTGCTCAGAGCCTCCTGTCCCTCAATCCAGGCAGAGCAAGCAGAGCAACGTGGGCAATGCTCCCCTGCCTCAAGACCTGGCAGGTCTGAGCCTTTACTGGGTTCATCCATAACAAAGAGACTAACTGAGGTGCATCAGCTACACCTGCTTTTCACACACAGAGTCAGCCAGGTTGGAAAAGACCTCTGAGTCCAACCTTTGACCCAACCCCACCTCGCCAACTGGACCATGGCAGTCGGTGCCACTTCCTGCATCTGTGTGATTTCAGACTGTGGATGTGCTGCTTGGGCCTGCCTTGGATGTTGGGTGACCTGCTGGGCAGGCAGAGAGGAGCTGAGCAGGTCTGAGAGAGCAGCTGGCAGAGGGTGAGCTCAGCAGCTCGCTGACACTGTGCCAGGGGAGGGCAGGGTGGCTCATCCTCCCTCAGCTCTTACCTCCTAGAGCTGAGCACACCCAGCACTCCCTCCTGCAGGGCACAGCCCTGGGCCCTGCCAAGTGCCTCTGATGTTGAGGTGGAGCAGTTCCCAGGGGCTGTGCTGCCTGCCTGGCACACGCCTGCCAGGGCTGCTCCTCCTGACTCACAACCACGTGCCAGCTCCAAAGGGAGGTTGCTGTGGGATGCTGGCTCTGGATCCAGCTCCCTGGGGAGTGAGGGGCATCCCCTGTGCCACCCCAGGGCACAGCAGGGAGCAGCCAGCTCAGGGCTGACTCCCAGGGCTGTTGGGAACCCCCACCACACTTGTCAGAGCCCACGGGGTTGCTGTGGTTTGGTTTATGGACAGTTCCCAAAAATACATTGAATAAACTGCCACTGGCCAGCTTGCAGCAAAGGGTTTGATGCATTTTTAATAAGCAGGTTGGAACAGGATTAGTATGGAGATGCTGGAGCTGTCTGCTGGTGGCTGTGTCTCACACAGCTTCAAATACCGCAGGAGAAGTGGAAAATAGGTGATTTATGTTAGAGGAGAAGTAGAAAATAGATAATTTATATTAGCTGGGGAAAGGAGAATGTTTGTGGAAGAAGAAGCAGGCTGCCTGGGTTCAGGGACTGCTGGCTACTCTGGTAAACCCAAAGCTAATCTGAGGTTTTATCAGCAGTAAACATCCGTGTGCTCCTGCAGAAAACTGTAATTTCTGCAATAGTTGCTCCAGTGTGTTGGGAAAAAAACACAGCAGGAAAACAGCCTTGCCCACCTGCACACAACTACATCACCCCACAGCCTCCTGCTCTGCTGGAAATGCCCTCTGGCAGAGGTGGTGGTGTGAGAGCTCAGGGTAGGGCTGAGGGAGAGTTGTGGTGTGGTCAGGGAGATGTCAGGGCCTTTCATTGTGCCCGAGGACTTTCTCCAAGGTCCTGCTTGCTGTGGTGCCTAAACTTGTCTGGGCTGTTGATGTGACACAGTCACAGCCAGGTGACTTTGTCCTTCCCCTGCTAGGAAGCTCAGGATCAGGACTGAGGATTTCCCTCACGCTCTGCCCTTGCTTTCAGCCACATGGATGCAAATATGAGTACATTTGCACCATTATTTGTGTGAGAATTCCTACAGAGTGGCCAAGTGACACATTTTCTAGCAGTGCTAAGTACTGCAAGGAGCTGCAAATCAACCACAAACCTACATTTCAGTCTGGAACTTCTGGGGAACTGTTTGCATACTTGAAGCCTAATTTCTGCTGACGTACTTCAGATAAACTTGGATGTTGCAATACAAACAGAGGTGGTGGGAAAATGGGAAGGAGAGCGAGAAGAATCCTGCTTCTTTGTAAGAGGTAACAAAATGGTTCTGTTTAAACCTGAATTTACTTCTTTCCAAAGAAATCCAGATGGAAACTCCAGGTGCAGGAGCTCCTTCCCAGATGCTAAAGGACAGTGGGATGCAGATAGAGCAGGGTGCTGCAAGGTGGGAAGTTATCCTGCTGTTGGCAAAGCCATGGCTGGTCTTTTTATTCCTAATTGTGCTTTCTGATAAGGATAAAAATAGAAATCTCTTAGAGAAAATGTTTTGGCACCAGGCAGTGCTACATAATGAGAAGGTGTCAGTAATACTTGTCCCAAACAGGCACAGATGTTGTACATTGATGATGAACAGAGCTAAGCAGCAGGAGACAATTGATCATTTACACAATTAGTGCTTTTCTCTCTTTTCCTTTCTTGCTGAAAAGTTCACAGCCTTGCTTTGATTTTCCCTTTGGTTACTGGGGAGTGACCAACCAGCCCTGAGTGATGCTGAAAATCCCACCTTCCAGCTGACTCACAGACATCCTGGACAGGCAGCTGTTACCCTCAGGGCATGGATGCAAACCACTCCTAGGTGGTTTTGGTGTCAAGAATGTCCAAAAGCCCCAGTGCATTTATACCCAGGTATTGCTAAACCCAAAAAGAAGGGCTGAACATCCCCTGTTCCTGTGCTTTGGCTCTTGAACCTCTGGACAGGGCCAGGGATATCCATCAGAGAACAGTGTGGGAAAAGCAGCTGGCACTTCAGGCAGAGGCATTAATAAACAAAACATGCCCAGCACCTCCATCCACTCCAGTTTTAGCACAGGACACTATTTTACAGCTCATAGGTGGCACACAGAGCCAAGTTTTGCTCTCTCCAGAGATGCTGCATGGCCTGGGCTGGGTGTTTTTGGTAGGGACCTGTCCAGTGCCAGTAAAAACTGACCTCAATAAGAACATTTTGGCTGGACAGTAGTGGCCAGAGGAAGTCTGGACCCAGGGCACATACTCTTGGCCTTCTGTGCCCACAAGGACCACGTGCATCCAGCAGCAGTGGCCACTCAGGAGTTTTACTGCTGCTCTTGGGAGGGGAACCCCAACACCTGGGCCCATCCAGGGACAACACTCCCTGCTCCTCCCCAGGCATTTCTCCATCCCTACACATCAGGAAGCCATTTCAGAGTCTCTTTCCCATGTGGGAGGATCTTTTCTAAGCTTTGTTGCCAGGTTTCTGACTTCCTTTGGGATGGGATCCAGGTGGAGCTGCTGGGACTTTCAAGCCCCTTCTCCACTGCTAAGCTGCCATGGCACAGACATGGCACACAGGTCCACATGCAGCCCTTTGGACAGGCTCTGGAATTTCTCTTTGTGGCCCTGACATGCCAAGGATGCCATGAAAATAAACCCAAGTTTGTTTCCAGGCCACAGGACTGGATGCTCTGCTTTCCTGGGCCAGCTGAGCAGGTTGCTGAGGCAGCCAGAGATTCTCTTGGCTGCTGAGCTGCTCCTTTGAGAGATTTATGAACTCAGACTCAAACTTGGCTTCCTTTTGGGGAAGGATAAGCAGCACTCCTGGGCCTTCCTCTGGAAGGGCACCACTAGAGCCTTTATATAGTTTTCCTGCTAATTACACAAGCCATGTGTTATTATTTAAAGAACTCTATTTTCTCACCTCACTCTGTCTTGGAGCATAAAAGAAAGTGACTTCTCTTTCCAAAAGGAGCAGTGCAGTGAGCCTGGAAGGTGTCCAGGGAAACCATCATCAAACTTGAATTATTCATCCAAGGCTCCTTGTACCATAACAGACGGAAAAACTGGTGGCTCACACATGTTGTAATGACATAACTTGCCCTGCTTTTTCCTGAAAGGGACATTTCTAGGGGAAAGGTGAGTTTGCATCCCTTCAGAGGCAGGAGGTGACACCATGTGCACCCACACAGAGGCAGAGATGACCAAACTGCCTCACCCCGCAGGCAGAGCGCCAGGAAAAACACACCCCTGTTGCACAAACCTCCCCTTCTCCTCCCCTTGCTCCAGGAAGGACTCACTCAGGAATTTACTATGTTTTCTTCTCACATGCTGAGTCCCTCCCTCCTCCCAGGACTGTCCCCAGAGCACAAGAAGGTGACAGTCCAAGCATGTGTGGGCTGAGCTCTAGTCCTGCAGCAGTCAGAGGGTTCTTCCCGTGGGCACTCTGCTGTGAGGGTCAGCAAACCAACGCTCATCTGGGGCAAACTGGGGTCTGCCCACTGGTCCCAGTATGCCCAGGGCACCCACACCCCAAAACCAGTGCCACAGAGAGCTCTGACACACACATCTGGTCCCAATAGTCCTGGTCTGGGCTATCAATGGAGCACATGGGGAAGGAGCCATTTAACAATCCAATTCTAACTCTCCAAATGCAGAAGGAGATCCAAAAAGACATTTTCCCAAGAAGCATTCCCACGGACTGGAAGGGCAGGACTCAGCTCCTGGGTTCAGTGTGTGACATGGCTCTTTGGGGACTTTACAGACAAAGCCACACAGGTGAGAAAATCCACCCACCTGCCCTTTCCTGCTGGACAACACAGATGGTAGAGCCAGAACACAGGAGAATGAATGAAAAGCTGAGAGCAGGCAGGAGCCAGCTGAGGGGCAGCTCCTCCCACTGCACAGCGGGCACCCAGCCAGCCCCATGACTTTCCTCTTCCTCCCTGGGACTCACAGGGGTTGTTAAGTCATCTCATCAGCTCGTTACATCACTGTGGGAATGTTACACGCTGATAGCTGAGTGCACACGAGTGGATGTGACACCAGGGCAGCCCGGGCTGGAGCAGTGCTCGGGGCTGACGTTGTGCTCTTCCCCTTAAGGAGCCAAGCCCACTGGTAAAAATACTTTTCTCTGCTAACTCTGCCAACAGGATCAAGAGCCAGCAACGCATCAGACTGATCAAACGAGCTCACACTTTGTTATTCTTTCACTCTGTTCAAGGCTGAGCTGTTCTGCTCTGTACAACCTCAAGCAAAGCCCGGTGCAGCTGAGGCTCTTCACCTCGTGTGCACCCACTGGCCTCAAAAGCAGTGGCAGGGTTGGGGCAGTAACACATTTCACACAGGCAAGGACAGAAGAGGTGCCACACAAGGCTGCATGAAGGTAGAACCAGGTAACACAGAGGATGCTGCACTGGGGAACGAGCTCAGGGTCAACCAGGGGCTGGCACATCCCTGCAGGGCTCTCACACCCCCTAAACATCCCCAGACTAAACAAGGTTACAAACCTGCCTTTGAGGCCTCTTCCTAACCCTGCTTTTTTATCCTAAATAAGCTCCTAGCAAGCACACTGATTAGCTGGGGGATTTCAGAGTTAAGGGTAAAATTCTCCAGGCATACATGCACCAGGTAGCATGGCACAGTCCTGCTGAATTCACAGTGTCCCGTGGGAATGGGCACTTGCAGACTGGCACCAGAAGGGATGGAGCAGCATGAAAGAGTGTTAGGAGCAGCACAGCATGAACTTGCATGGCTGGGAGCAAAGGGAGTGCAGCTGTCAATGGAGAAGAGCTGAGAAGACCCCTGGATCCAGAGAGAGTTTTAAGGGAGAGTGAAAAATAGGGAGTGAATTTTAGGGCCAGGCTCCTTGTCTCAGATCAGATCTCTGCAGAAGTTTGCATTAATAACACACAAGAACTGTCAGCCCAGTGATGGGTGACTGACCCACTGACATCACAGCCTGGTCAGCTGAAATCAGACACCGGCAGGGGAAGTCTCAGATTTAACCCCAAAGAAGGGAGGAAAATGAGCCACAGTGTGAAAATCTGGCTGAAATCAGTGGAGAGACACTGATTTACATCAACTAGTGGTTTTTGAAGCATTGCCTGCAGCATGCCAACAAAAGTTTTAAAGTCATGCATTGTACTGTGACCTCAGCGAAATTAAGACAAGAACAGGAACCGTTAGTTAAAAAGTCTGAATCACAGAATCCCAGAATTCTGAGCAGTAATATGATTTATCCCGGGCGGTTTTTCTCAGCGTAAGGAAGGAGGAACGTAACAGCGAGCCTCACGCATTCCCTTAAACACGAGAAACTCGTAAAGAGAATTAAAAGACCCGAACAAAGGCAGCCGTGGGGGCGCAGGGCGCTCCTCCCGGCAGGAATGAGGAGCCAGTGCCTTACCTGGCTGCCGCAGGAGCTGGGCGCTCGCAGGTTCCCGGCCAGCAGGTAGGCGATGGGCAGCATGAGGACCAGCACCGAGAGCAGGCACAGCAGCACCGCGCACCGTATCCTCCTCAAATCCTTCCTGAGGTGCATCCCCGAGCCTTGGCTGATCCCGGGAGCCGCTGCCTCCGGCGTTATCTGGACCACGGGCTCCATGGCAGCTCCGGCCGGGCGAGATGCTCTTCCTCGCTGGGAGCCGGGGACGGCAACACCTCCTCTGGCGTCTGCCCTGCATGGAGACCCCCATTAAATAAGAGCTGCCCCGAGTGTGGGAAGGCACCGACACACACGCACACCCTCCCTCCCGAGGAATGCGCCGCCTACAATAGAAACCCAAGCGCGGGGATCGGGAGCTCCGCGGCTCCCCGCGCTCCCTGCCCGCTCCTGCCTCCCCACCGCTTTTTTTTTTTTGTTTTCCCTTTCCTCCCCCCTCTCTCAGTGCTGAAGGAAGCCAGGAAAGTCCCGGTGGGTGGAACCAGGATAAACCCTGCTGCTGGGCTGGAGAGACTTGAAAGCTTTTCCGCATGGCAGAGGGAACACGAAACCAACGGGAGTGAAAGTGAGAAGCAGGGGGGGAGCGAGAGCGGCAGAGGGGACGGGGCCCGGCAGTTTCTTCTTTCCCAGACAAAGGGGAAGAGGATTTTAGGGAAGGTGAGGAGTAAGTGACCCCAAAGAAGGGCTCTGGTTCTCTGAAGCGTTGCTCCATCCCTACGTTTTAGCAGAATCCACATCAGGCTGCAGGTTGCTCAGCGTGCATCTTTTGCACCAAAGAGTGCAGGGTCAGGCCTGAAGTGGGATGTTTGTCTGCTCTGGGGTCCTTCTCCAAAATCATTTTAATTGTGCTTTCAGGAAAGCCTGTTATTGTTTCTTGAAAAACAATGTGACTTCATTGCACTTGGAAGAAAAATATATCATCTTCCTTTATTGACAGCTGAGAAGGGCTGCTCCTATGGACAATCTCTGGAGCTGCTCAACAACAGGTCTGGAAGAACAAGCTGATGTCCTGCTGGAAATAACTCCTGTATCCCAGGGAAGGCTAATTCTTGCTTGCTCCTTACCACTCCACAGCAACCCCCTCCTCCAGTGGCATTTAGGAAGTGCTTGGCAGGACCCATTTGTGGACATGTTGTCATTTAGATTTACCCAGGCTGTTGAAATCAGAATTTTTTTCCCCAGGAAAGTTCTCTTTAAAATGGAAACTTTCTCTGATGTCTACGTGCACACACAGTGATGTTCAGAAACTTCTCCTTTTTCCCTGGGTAGAGAAACAGGCTGGAAACTTGCAGATTTCTTAGTGAGAGAGCAACAAGGTTTGGTTCCCCTCACCTCCCC